CTCTCTCTCTCTCTCTCACCTCTGCTCGCTCTTCCAAAGCACCTACACTTCCTCTCGTCTGTCAGTGTCTGGTCTCACGTGACCCCTCTTAACCTCTGTTTCCTAAAATAGCGCTCTGCTTATTGTGCACAGTGAACAGAAGGCGGGAACGACAAAATCGGCTCCTGCAGGGTTTTTTTTTTTGTGAAGGAAGGGCCTCAGCAACGGAGGCTTATTGGCTAATACCAGCGTCACTTCCTGGAAGTGGGGTCACGTCGCAGCGAGCGAGCACCCGGGTGGAAATAGGGGTGACTGACTGAGGCTTGTTTTCACCAGACGCTGACCGGCAGGCGGACAAAAGAAGTGGAGCAAGGGATCAGGGCCTGTTGCAGTAAATACCATCACCCCCTCCAACACCACCTCCTCCTCCCTGAGGGCCTGTGGAATTGACAGAAACAATGACTCAGCCGTAGAATGGACAGAAATTGATTTTCTGCAAAAAGGTTAAATGAGCGGCCACTTTTTTTTCTCACTGTAGAGGTTGTTTTTGTTTTGGCCATTGGCTACGTTTGCTATTTTATTGTTTGTGCCTTCTTCTCGAGGCAGCAGTCGATGTGAGATTCTGTGATGGACATACCTTGATGCACTTTTTTGCCCCCGTTTTAAAAAGAGGTCTGGCTGTTAGAATAAAGGGAGGCTGTTAAGAAAGTGCAGTAAAAGCCTCCATTAATTGTCCTGTCACCGTCTTAAGAGACCAGACTTTGTGCATGTTAAGGAAGGTGTGTGTATGTGTGATTTCAACACAACTGGGTGCAGAAATTGTCACACAAGTACATTATGAAAGAACCAAGTCTCCTATCCCCTTCAACATTCTCACACACACACACACACACAGAGCAGACAACACAACCTCTTGTGATGCATTCCTTTGTGACGTCAAACTCGCTGCCTCTGGGCTACGAGGCACAGCACAGGATGTCTGAGAGAGAGAGACAAAGACGGAGACAACAAAGAGAGGGAGAATCGTTCATATGTGTAGACGAAGATAAATTTTATATTTGTGAGGTTAAAGAAAAGAGAGACTGGAGAAAATAGATATTTCAGTGAAAGACGCAGTGAAAGAAGAAGAAGAAGAAGAAAAAAAAGAGTGCCGAGCCCAGAAAGTCGGAAAGTGACTGCAAATAGTCTTACTTCCCTATAATAAGTCAAATTCTTTGCTGCTTCTCCTCCCTGCGTTTGACGGCCAGCCTTGCCCTGAATGATGCCCAGCCTGCCAGCAAAGGGGAAGAGAGGCATGGCTGCCGTACAGAGACATGTGATACAGAGTCACACCGCAGCAACCGACATCCTCAGCATTATATTCTATTTTCATAGAAACAAAGCCTTCCAATGCCGTGCGGTTGCATAACACTGGCTGGTTACCAAAATGTGTTTACTTATAGCTTATTACATTTTGCAGTGTGTACTTTTCTCCTTTTGGATTTCTGTGTTTACGTCTATGTTTAGAGACCGGCTCTTGAATATCAGTCATCCGTATCTGATTGATCCATGCTGCTGCTGTCAGGTGTCTATCGATAAGGTTTAATCAATTCTGATTCTGTTTCTGCTTGTCGGCTGGATTTTTGTCAAATGGCTATAGTTTTTATTGCGATTAAGAAGAGAAACCCCAAATTGAAAGCAAAAATTATATATATGTCAGTAGATTTAGCATGTTTTTGGTAATTTGTAGTTAAAAAAGCTTTAAAGGGACAGTTCACACCAAAATCCAAAATACATTTATCCTCTTACCAATAGTGCTATTTATCCATCCAGATTGTTTTGGTGTAAGTTGGAACCAGAGGGCACTCGGCTTGTGGTGCTCAAGAATTTGAAAACCTCAACAGCAGTGCCTCTTTCCAGAAGTCATGACCCGGTAACTCAAGATAATCCACAGATCTTGTTGTGAGCAGTTTCATGTAGGAACTATTTCTTTCTACCTATCCCCACACAGAAGGAAGTGTGAATCTACCCATGGACGAGAGGCAGCGCGTGATGTAAACATTAATGGCGTCCTCCTCTGCATTAGCTGGCTCAACTAGAAAGAAAATAGTTCCTACATGATACTGCTCACAACAAGGTTTGTGGATTATTTTTGGTAACTGGGTTTTCTGGTTCCATTATATGGGAGAGAAGGCAGAAAGACATCTCTAAAAACTCAACACCTCACACCAAAACAATCTGGATGGATAAATAGCAATGCAGGTAAAAGGAAATATGTATTTCTGATTTTGGGGTGAACCGTCCCTGTAAAACAGAGCAAAATTTTATGACCATGACTTAGACCTCAGTTAGAATAGACTAGAATTTTGCTGTGTAATGATACTTCACTGTATCCTTTCTGTCTTTTGTGAACTTTTATGTCTGTTCCACATGTTGTATACACTATGATGTACAGTAGGTTGATGTTAAGAAATGAATTTGAGGTTACAAACACAGATTTTTATAATGCATTCACTCGAAGTGGATATTACTGCTTGCAACACTTGATTGCCTGTAAAAGAAATGTCGACCTATGAAGGTGTGGATTTTTACCAAGATTGAAGGGATGTTGATGTAGTTAATAATGGTAACCATAGTAACGTGTTAAAGCCATCTTCACCTTTGTCAAAAAAAAAACTCATCAAAGCACAGTAAAATTGGTGTGGAGAGGCATTTTAAGAGCTGAAACTTAAAACTGCGCGTTGCATGACGCATGACATACACAGTGTTTTGCCTTTACTGTAACTGCGCCAGCATTTTCCGAGTTGTGCAAAAGTTTGAGGGAGTTTCACAAGTGTTTAAACTAGTTTCTTAGTCACAATAACTAATGCAAATCAGCCATTCCCTGCAGAACTTGAGAGAGCTTTTTTGAAGAATTGTCCTACTTTATCTGCAAGAAAAAGCTAAATTAACAGAGCGCTCATGATCATGGATCTTTTTCACACAGTAAAATGATCAACTTAAACAAAACTGACAAAACTGCATCGTCACTGGTCCATTTAACTACTGCCACATCTAGGTGTTGTGGTCAGGTTTACGTCTGTCCTTCATTTAAAAAAAGAACAAGGTTTGCCTCTTTCTGACAAGTTTAAATGTGCTGTGTTTTGTTTGGTGCTTTCTGTCTTATGTTTGCAATGAGGCCACGTTAGACTGATATTTCTTTGTTGCAGCTTTTTGTTCTCTACTATGATATGCAGCGTGCCTGCTGTCATAAGAGGCTGCGTGACTTTTTATGCAATTAAAAACCATGGTAGTATTTCTGCAGTCTGACATCAGTGAGATTTCCCCAAACAGATATAAAGCCATTTGGATCCAGTACTGAATTCATGGATAACATAAATAATGACCTACCTGAACCTGAGTGCACATCAGTTGTGACATGAGATAAGATAGAGGATGGATGAGTATCATCGCAGTGTAAAGGAATAATGTTTTTGGGACATTGGCTTGTTGTTCAGCTTACAATCTTTGGATCAGCAGATTTGTAACCCCACTAGAACTGCAATGATTAGCCAAGTAATCAATTAGTTGTCGACTATTGAATTCACCTACAACTTTTTTGGTCATCGTTTTGAGTCATTTTCTCAGAAAAAAATGTCCAAATTCTCTGATTTCAGCTTCTCAAATTTGAATATTTTCTGCTTTCTTTAATCCTCCACGACAGTAATCTCAACGTCTTTTGGTTGTGGACAAAACAAGACATTGTAGGACGTCAGTTTGGGCTTTGGAAAACACTGATCAATATTTTTCACCATATTCAGACATTTTATGGACTTAATAACTAATCTAAACTAAACTCCAGTGTTCTTCAAGCATTAGCAATATATGTATGGATCCCCAAAGTCTAAAATAAAATAATGAAATAATAAAATAAAATATCTTTTGAACAAAATTATTTAAGATATATAAATGAAGCAATAAGTGTTCAGTTATTTCACAAATTGTTTATTTATATATTTCTTACAATTAATTCATATGATTATTTATTTCTTAATGTCTTCTGGGGGTTCCAAGTTCCTATAGCTGCTTCACACAATAAAAGTCTACTAGAGATTAATGTATTTACACTGATTAGTCAAATGCAAGTGTTAACGTGGAAATGTGTTTGTCGTTGTAAAAACAAGAGGAAGAGGAAGTGAGAAAGGAACAGAGCATATGTGAATACATGTACGAAGACTAAGCTGTAGACTTACATGATTTTTATCACAAGCAAGAAAAGTGCTAAATGAGTCTTTGCAGTGATGCATTTCATTGAATTTGAATCACTCAGCATATTTAAATGTTTGAAACCTCGCCAAGTCTTACCTGTCTTTTCTTTCCTCTCTTCCTCCCCACTTGTCCTTCCCTCCTCCAGTCCTTCTGGCTCAGCCTATAGAGAATGAATGTATGGAGGGTTTGACGTTAAAGATCACCGACTTCGGCCTGGCGAGAGAGTGGCACAAGACCACCAAGATGAGCACCGCCGGCACCTATGCCTGGATGGCCCCTGAGGTCATCAAGTCATCCACCTTCTCCAAGGGCAGCGATGTCTGGAGGTGAGTGCTTCTGTGTGTTATTCTGTGTGTAGAAGCCAAATCCAGGATTTTTATCATCAGTTCTTTTATGGTATTTATGTTATCACAGCACCTTGAAGGAATGGTTCTATTACGCTAAATATGAAGCTAGGGCTAAGCAAGCTAAGCATGCGTGTATTTCCCGTCAAACTATTCCTTTAAAGGCCGTGTGTGACATTTAAAAGGATTAAAATATCAAGATAGAATGGGGTCTTGAGTCCTGTGTTGCTATTGCAGCCTCCCTCTGGTTTGTTTACATAGCCGGTCTGGCCTTGCATGCATTTTAGTGCCTGTGAGAGCGACTTTTCTCATCCACAGTATGTCTGTGAATTAACAATCTATTTCAACCAAAGCAGTTTTTGAATTTCGGAATGACTATCAAAGATGGTTTTGTTGGGTTTTAGTTTGTGTCAGTCCAGTTTGATTTGTGATCATCTGGTAAAATGACTCATTTTGTTAATGGAGTCTTGTTGGCCGTATCAGCTGTTGTTTTAGTCTGAGATGCTTGCCTATAAAATAACATTTTGAATTTATAGAATCCCAGTTAAAGATTGAACATTCCTACCTTATTATATGTTTAGTATAATTAGCTATGATACAATGCAGAGAACTAATACTGTGATGTTGATGTTGTCATGTGGAGACACGTTTTAACCAAATTTTAACAGCCAACATTTGTGCGTCACCAAACCACAATTTTGACTCCTGACATCTGAATGTTTAACTCATGCTTAATAATGAGCCAATAAATAAAGCAGTAAGTGTTATAATCCTCAGTTTAATGGCACCAGTCTGGTGACAGAGTCATGTGTGACCTTCAAATACAGTATAAAAAGCACTACTATTGTTTTATTCTGTGTGAGCATAGATAGATAGTGATAATACAAATCTTGGCATTTCTTGCTTCAGTTTTGACCGTTCTTCCAAGTCCCCCAACTTTACTGACGTGCAATATTAAATTGGTGGAGTGTAGCCCTTTGACATTGGCTATTGAGACCAGTCCTTTGCATCAGGGCTGAGACAGAATAAAGATGTTAGTATATAGACAGTAGTATCTCTTCAGCAGGATGGTGGAGCTGCAGCAGGGGCCTGTGGACAGAGATAGAAACAGAAGGGAATGGGTGAAAGTGCAGAGAAGTGATGGTGGGAGATGGATTGATGAAGAGATGGAGGGACAGAGTGATGGATTGCAGCAAAGCCGCCGCAGCCATGTGATGGTGTCTCTTCAAAGGGCTGCTCTGTGCTTTGTTGTGGGACATGTGTACTGCACACTGTCCCATTGTCTCCAGTATAGACAGAGAAGGAGGCCACACACTAGACCTAACCACAGCCCTTTATCTGCGAATAGCTTTGTGTGTGTGTGCACATATCTGTGTCTACACAAAAAGAAAAGAGTCCCTTGATTATGGTTTGTGGTTTTATAATAATGACTTAAACAACTGTGTGATTTGCTGAGAGGGGACTCATGATGGCTTTTAAGTGCCATATATGAATTTGCATTTGGAATGAAGCAGGCAGGGGTGTTTTTGCTCAGCAATAAGGAAATAAGATAAATAATTTATGAAAGCAGTAACACATTCACTGCTTTGCTGCATTGTGGTTATTGCGGATACTCTCATATGCTATGGTTTAATTTTAATCCTGTGGATTTGGACCATTTCATCCATTCTTAAATGGTTCTTTGCAGCCACATACAGAGTCTATGTGGAACCAATTGAGCATGCTGTTACAAGAACCTTTCTGAAAGCCTCCTTAAGGACATCAAAAAGGATTCTGCTATGGTGCAAGCTATTTAAGGAATTTTCTGGTACTTTAAGGAACCCTATTTAGTAAGAGTGTACAGTGTTTTTTCACTACCCTAATGGGCTCAGTGCCATCTCACTATCTCACAGACACATCCTCTCAGTTTCCAACTCTTGCGTCTATCGACAACAAACCCACACAAGCTCATTTTCACAGCAATCTCCGCACAATCTGGAAAACAGCAAAATGAGCGAGTCGCAGGCGGGCAGGCAGCCCTGCTCTGAAAATGAAGGGTAATCTTTGTTCTACTATTCTTTCTCATCCGTCCACGGCCGCTCGTCTCCAAAGCCGCCACGCAGAGACGATGGCTGCCTCGGGGCGAGCCGACAAGCAGCGTTTCTGCACAGTTACAGTGTGTGGAAGTTGTAATTAAAGAACTAAATAAAAAAAGGCTGCGGCCTGCGCTCTCCACTTAGCGAGCCTCCACAGTGCGTTCAGTCAGGTCCAGACGAGGGCTAATTGACAGTGTGGGAGATCCAAGTCCTGCGCCACGCTTCATCTTCTTAGGACACAGGGCTGCTGCCATTGTGTGGGCTCAAAAGTCCTGCTTGTGTGTGTGTCTGTGTGTTTGTGTATTTGTGTTTGTGCAAGTTTTGCATGCATGAGTTCACATTGCTTTGCAAGCACTTGTTTCATCAAGCAAAAATATTCCACTGCACAAATGTCTTAGTTCTGTACTGTCAGTTCTATGATAATGAGTATGTAAGGCATAATGTGCGGTACAAAGCAAGAAGTAGCGTTAAAGCTACACTTACTTGAAATCCATTATGAAGTGTATAAACACCATAGACAACCCAGTGTCTAAAGATGTTATCTTTTGTCAGCTCAGAACTAAATGAGCTATTATCTTTTAAAAGCACTATCAAATTCAGTATTTAAAGGATCAGTGGGTAGGATTTAGTGGAATGTAGCTGTGTCCATGAAGCTTGTGAAAAACATGAAAGGCCAGTGTTTGGTTTATCCGTTCTGGGCTACTGTAGAAACATGGTGGTTCAACATGGTGGACTCGGTAGAAGAAGACCCGCTCCCCATAGATAAAAACCGCTCATTCTGAAGTAACAAAAACACAATGATACCTATATTCAGGTAATGAAAACATACCTATGAATATTATATTCCATTTCTACCAACAGATGTTAAAAATGTTAAAAATGTAACCTAAAAATTCAATATTCTGTAAGTGGGTGTAAAACATGTCACCTAACCAATTTTAGTGTTAAAATGTGAATTTAAACCACTTCAGTTAAAACCAAAAAAGTAACCTTAGCTAAAATAAGCATAAAGCTGCACTAATCAATATGTTTCATATTAGCAATGGATCAAATGACATTAACAGGCGACATTAACATTAAGAACTTAATAATGGAATAATATGTTCCGCTGTTACCTAGTGGTTGAAAATAGCAAGTAACACAGCTTTAAAGCTACTATGTGTAGAATTTGGCTCCCCCTAGTGGTAATATGAAAAAAGACACTGTGACAGAACTATAGGTCCAGTCCGCAATCAATGAGTTAAATGGTCCGAAATCAACACTGTCACTGGGGTTATCTCACATTTCTACAAACACACACTTTTGCCACCACAATAATGTGAAAGATGCTATAATCATATAAAAAGCTCATGATGGTGGCTTTAAGATAATCCTGGCAGCTTTAATTTAGAACTTACTGAATGCTTCATAGTAAAACCATCATCAGTACTGTTTGCTGGAATGCTTCTACTGTGAAGCAGCTGCAGGATGTATATAGTTTGCAGCTTACAGATATGAACGCATTCTCACATGACAGATGGTAAAATACTGTAAAACAGATGAAAAATTAGCAAGAATATCATGTACTAAAACGTGTTCCAGGACATCTCCTGTGTCTAATTCTGTTTTTCTGTGACACCCCCCCCCCCCCCCCC